TTAATTGTATGAATATTTGGTTAACATGAATTGTATTTATTAATATGATTTCTAATTGGCTTATTAATAATTGCTTTTTTAAACACCATGGTTATTTTCAATTACTTTATGTTAGATATTGTTTATATATGATCATGATTTTTTGAGTAACTTATCAATAATGTGTTTTTATGGAGAAAATTTCATAAAAAGGATCATTTTGATGGTAAAAATCACCTAAAAATGATTCAGTTTGAGCTTATTCACGAGTCAAGCTCTAGCACACTATTTAAGCTCGAGCTAATGAGCTAAATTTGAGCCTAGGATTCGAACACACAAGTAAAGTTCAAGCTCGAGTTTGAGCCACTTGCACAATTTAGCGAGACTGGATTGAACTACCTCTAGCTCGAGCTCGACTTGACTTATTTATACCCTTAGCTAAGATTACTTGAGATGAGTTCACTATAGTATTCAGAATATGATTTATACTTCCGTCAGCGTGACAAAAGATGCAAAAAGAAATTATTAAGCTAGAGTAAGGACGCAATATAATGATGGAGTATGAAACCGAGTTTACTGCTCTTGCTAGGTATATTCCTCATTTGATCCCCACTATTGAAGAAAACTGCTACAAGTTTTTGCAAGGGATGAATAAGGAGCTAAGAAATTCGCTAGTACCTCTATAGATTTGGGAGTTTTCTAAGTTGATGCAGCGGGCTTAACTAATATAGATTAATTTGGTAGCACCAACATCCAGATATGAGGTTGGCTCAAGATATGATGTCAACAAAAAGAGGAATAGGGATTAAACTTTGAGAGAGATATATAGTGACAAGAAAACAAGGTATAGAGATTCGAGGGGATTTGCATTAGTAGCGTCTGCTAGTAGATATGACGAGTGTATTCATTGTGATTGATGACATACGGGTCAAGGTTACTTGTTAACGGAGCGATGTTTTCGTTGTGGATAACATGAACATAAGGTAGTAAACTGCACTCATAGGGGATTTGGAGGAAGAACTAATTCTAGAGCATAACATTTTAGATATATTGTAGGATAAAGGATTGTCGAGTCAGGAATATATAGTGAAAGATAAATAAAAAGGGTAGATGACATAACTATTAGTGGTAGTCAAAGGGATACTATTGTACCATGATTGACTACACCTACTCTAGTGATGTTATATGTGTATAACGTATAGTATAGAAGATCAACAATAACCTGAAAGCTCTACTCGTAATAAATTTATTTGAATGATATATCATATCATGCATATATGAATGACATGTAATACAATAAATAGTATGAATGTAACAATTTTTGATGAATTTTAATTGTATTTAATTATGATTTGATTTGAGTATTGATAATATGGATTTGGTTGACATTAATTTTATACCCGAATACGTAAGGGAAATGTCAAGGATGATATTTTCTTAAGATTGGTAGAGTATAATAACCCATATTTTGATCAAGGTAAATAATTTTTTCTGAAGTAAATATAATTCCAAATCATAAACCGTCTTCATCATAGCATTGTTATTATAGCATTTTATTTTGCCCGAATTCTTTTATAATTTTTGGGCACCGGTGAAAATCTTTTAAAAAATTGACACATGTTGATACAAGTGAGAATTTTGGAACTGTATGTCTCCCTAAAGCTTAGGTTAGGGTGGGGGTTAGGTATTTGTTTTGCAAACTAATTTCATCAATATTTTCTAAATAAACTAATTTAATTTATGAATATTTTTCAATAAATTTTAAATTCCCATATATCTTTATATGAATTTTTTAATAAAAAAATTGATTAATTATAATTATATTATTATTATTCTCTTTCTAAATATACTTGATAGTAAGTTTGTTGTAATCAGAGTTCAGAAATGGTCTCGCATTTAATTTTAAAAGTTGCCAAACTTAAATATGCCTCAAGTTTGTGCTCAATCAAAACAAATTTTGGTGTGTATCAATACTTATGATCTGGATATCAATCAAGATCAATAACTTTTATCAACCACTTTAACTCAACTAGGATCTTATTCTTTCCTGAAACATATATACAAGCAGCATAGAGTGTGCAATACTTGCTCAATATACTATATGAAAACTATTATTGAATTTAATGCCCATATAAAATAACTTTAAAACCATACTAACATTGTATGAGCAATAAGGCATGCTTGAAGTGAACTAACATGATCATTGAATTATATAATGTTACTAATCAATTATGTATCCCAACAACTTGAGTCATCGTTATGCTCTCTAGAAATAAAGAATGACGATTATGATGTTATTGATAATAATTGAATAATGGAAGTTAGGAGACAACAATGAAGATTGTTGATGGTCATTGTTGATGGGGATTGCTAGGAAACACTTGATTTGTGTTTATTTGGACTCAAATAAGATTACTTCTGATGCCAATGACTATTTCTTTCTAGGGCATTTAGCTCGACTATAATTTTATTAAAATAAGAGTTTGGATGGTTTGAATTTAATTGTGAAAGTTCTAATTTAAATATTACCTCGGCATTCATGATGATCAAGTAACTTTCATAGATATAAAAATAAATTAAAAAAAGTAACTTTCATAGATATGTATTAATGTTAAAGCAATAAATTGGGATCAAAGACTAAAAAGTGGATACATCACCAATTATACCTTAGAGACTACATACATTGACTAATGAAATAAAGGTCATTGATGTGGTGAAATCAAGTCATTATGATCACTTATGTTATAGCTCAAATTTCAAACTTAAAATGTTATGGCTGATAGATACTCCAATATTTTTTAAAAAATAATTTGAGTTCGGATATTTTGATGAAAATTCGTCATGATGGCCTTCAAAGCCATTTGATTTGCGTTTGCATTAATATTGTATATGTTATCTTGAACTTGACTAATCTCAACATAAATTCAAGAGCATCCAAATATATTTTATATCAAGATATCCTAACACAACTTTTTTTCCTTATTTTCCTTCAATCACGCTCAAACTATCATGCCCGATTATTTTTACTCAAAAAATAATAATTACGACATGATATCCTCCTGATGTAACTTTTGTCGAGAAGCGCCAAAAAATTAGAATTTTTATTAGTATATTAGGATTTTTAAAATTAATTTTTTTTTAAGTGCTATAGAATTTGGAGCACTTTATCATGAATAGGGGTATCAAAGTTGGGTTTCGGTTCGGGTTTGGGACAAATTCGGAACTAACCCGGGTTCAAACTAGTCGACCCTAACCCAACCCGGTTATGTAAATGGGTTGGAAACCGGACCCGGACTCGACATGTCGAGTTACCTGGTTGACTCGACCCGACACGGTTGACCTGAGGACAATGACATGGAGAGAACTGGTTGGCGGGCGGGCATGGATGCGAGTACCGGTGGACAGGCTTGGGCACGCAGGCGGGCACGGGCAGCTTCGAGCACAATGGCGTAGCTACCAGCATCCTTGGGCGGGCCCGCAGGCAGCCACGGGCAGGCTTATGTAGTACATTTCAAACGGATTTTCGGGTTGGCCTGGAAATCCGACTAGTCAATCTGAACCCGACCAGTTTTTTCAAACGGGTCAAATCCATGAACCCGAACCCGTCCCGTTCTGAAATCGGGTCGGTTCTAACCCGAAATTTTCGGGTCAAATTCGAGTCAGATTTCTATGTCGTGTCAATTATTGACACTCCTAATCAGGGGCGGAACCGGCTTTAACTTTGAGGGGGGGCAAAAATACAATAATAAATGTGAAGTAGTTTACATCGTTATGCTCCTAATCATGAGTTTTACATCAGGATATCCTGAAGTATTTTTTTTTTAATTTATTTCTTATGCATTAACATTAACACAAGATATTGACCTATCAAATTATGATTGAATGGCAAGATAAAGAACCCTACATAGATGGCTATGTACTTTAAGAGTTGACTTATGTTTTATTTGAGATGATTTTCTTACTACTTTCTAAATCAATTTTTTAATACAAAAAATTCTAAAAAATTTTGTACAAAAATGATGCTTTAGAAAGAATTAAGAAAGTCCTCCCAAACAATACCTTACAAACTCAATTAGATTTTCTTTTTCATTCTTTTACATTATAGATTCCTGACACATTATTGTTTAGTTATTATTTTATTGTTATTTAAAAAATATTTAAAATGATGAATAATTTATTATCAATTAGATTTGCTAGAATGTAATAACTATACAAATATGATGATCCGACTTTTTTAAAAATAAAGAAAAATTAATATTTGTAAAAAAAAAAATCAAAATTAATTTTGTCATGACAGATCTATATCTACTTCACAAATAATAAATGTGTCCCCAATAGAATTAGGCAACACGATTGAAGCTTAAAGCTTGAAAACAAATTATAAACTTGGGCACATTAGTTATTAATTTTATACTATTTCTTCTTCTCATCATTAAATTAGCAGTGATTTTTTTTTTTTTTTTTTGTACATTTAGGTCAGTAAAAACTAAAAAGGTGGATGAGTGACTTTACTTTTAGACGTAGGATATTAAATTAGAATATGCGTGAAAAGATTGTAGTAGCAACAGTGACTGATAAGATTAGAGAGAGTCGTCTTAGATGGTTTTGCCACATAAAATGACGATCTTCCAAGGATTCGGTTACGAGAGTAGATGTATTAGATTTAACATATATTAAGAAATGTAGAGGTAGAGCTAAAAAAACTTAAAAAATATTAGAAATAAACTTTCTACATTAGATCTAAATGAGAATTTGACTTTTTATCGGAGACAATAGAGAAAAAAGATTCATGTAGCCTACCCCGTGTAGTGGGATAAAGGCTTTCTGTTGTATTTGTTGTTATATTTAGGTCAATTAAGACAAATTCTTACATATGTCACATATGTAAGACTCAAACATAGGACCTCTTGATTGATAGTCAAAACTCCCGGCCAATATACTAAGATGAGTTATGTAATTAGCATTAGTCAAATAGACATTTATATATTTACTATTTTTTCTTCAAAATAATGTAAACTAAATTTAAAAAAAAAAAATCAGATTCAAATTTATAATATTAAGAACAAACTTGTTGCTCTAAAGCGCAGATCTTTTACAAAATTGCTTTTCTTTTTGGCTAATTAGCGAGTACTTCCCAGATTAGCTCGACATCAAAAGAAGGCATCCTCGCCAACGAGCACTCCCCGCCGTCCATCTCCCCTCCAACTTCAGCCATAATTAAGCTCTGATTTACAGAGACAGAGAACGGCGACTCTGACGTCGTCTTCCTCTCCTCCCCCTTCTTCTCCACTCTCTCGCCAACGCCGCCGCTTCTTTTAAGCCTCCTCTGCTTTGAGAGCCGCTGACAAACAGCTTGAATCTTTGAATCCACAGCTAAACGAAGCGCGCGAAGTTTATCAGAGCAGTCAACGCCGGCGTCACGGAGCTCTGGGAAGTTAAGCCGCGCGTACTCGCCGCGAAGCTTGTACGCAGCTCGGTCGTAAGCATATGCGGCAGACTCAGCTGAGTCGTAGGTACCGAGCCACAGCCGCATCCTGTTCTGCGGCAGCCGGATCTCGGCGACCCATTTGCCCCAATTACGTTGCCTTACTCCTCTGTACATCTTCTTCTTCTTCATTGCTGCTTCTTCTGCTGCAGCCGCCGCAACACGGTTCTGGTAGCCGAAGCGGAGGAGGAGCTCGGTCTGGCGGAGGTAGACGGAGGAGCCGAGAGGCTCTGCTGTAGGGGAGAGAGTGGTCGGCGGCGGAAGGTGGGAGAAGATAGAGTCGATGGCGTTGGTGCCGGAGAGAAGGATGCTCGATAAAGTGGAGTTGATTTCGCCGGGAGAGGTGAAGGGAGTTGGGCTTTCCATGTTTTCCGGCGAGGGGGAGATGGCTTATACTTGAAGCCGACAGCTTTCTTCAAGGATTAACCTCGAGGGTGATTTGACTCTCTTATCGCCTATGGACTCCGTCTGTTTGGGAAATACAGCTTCAGCAGGGGATTTTATAGACGGGGCAGCAGTGAAAGCACATTAAGAAAAAGTCGTATAATTTCTTGATAATATGGCTAATTTACTATTTCATTTTATTTGTCGCATGTTATTCATCAATATAATTAAATTATTAAATAATATAATTAAATTAAATATAATAATAAATGAGCCCAAATTGAGGATTTGAAGCATATATGAAATTCTCAAGACATTAATTGGATATGACATGTTTATAGTCGAATCGTGCGGCTAGAAGAATTTAATGAGCTCAAGATCGCTTAATGCTGATATAATGAAGACCATCAAATGTTGAATGTACCCTGATAGAGCACTCTGAATTTGGTCCCAAATTTCTCCATATTTTATAAAGTATGTTGCTCTAAAAACTTTATAAATAGACTCAATTTTTTCGTGAGAGATGCTTGAACCTTAGGCTAGATATTCAAGAGAGTTTTGGAGCTTGAATAATCACAGAGCTCTACCGAAGCACCACTATCAGCGAACTCTTATCACATGATCGCCGTCATCAAACATTTGCCAACCGATCGTCACTGTCGGAACTTTCATCGACCGACGGGCCTCCTCCATCCAACACGCAATAATAACTATGCTATAATTTAAAAAACAAAAATCATTATTAGTAAAACAGATACAAATATATGTTTTGATTTAAAAAAAAAAAAAAGCTCTTGCAAAATAAATGAGCACCA